TTTCGGTTGCTTTATAGCCAAGATGGCGCGTGAACTGTCAAGATGCATTGAAAAAGTAGAAATATTTGAGGAGTCGTAGAACACTACTAACTCTATATCGACTTTCTCTGGTGATCATTCAAAAAGAAAACCAACTTCACAAAACTTCCTGGTTCGGTTTTTTTCCCCAGGATATTCAAAACAAGTCCCACTTCAAAACACAATTTAATATGTTTTGACATGTTGATGTTCGCGAGAATATGTACTTTCACGGGACGTCATGTTGCATGTTCAAAGTTTGAAGTGGTATTTTTGAATGTCTCGTTTTAGTGTTATAAATATCTTGCAAGATTATTATTTTAAAGATCTTTTTGCGGAAGATCAGAATTTGATTCTTTCTTGGCAGACTGTGAAAACATCTGATTCTATGTTTTTAATTTGGTAGATGCATTGCTAGAGCTTTGAAAAGAAGAGAAGTAGAATGGGTTACTTTTGATTTTTGGTTTTCCAAATTCTCAGTTTTGAGAGGATCTCTTATTGTATTAGGGATCGCGTCTACCTACAGATCATCTAACATATTCTCGTTTTGGATTGCTGGCAAGTGTATTATCTCCAAAACCTGGAACGCTTTCTTGTTTTTGGACATTTTGAGAGCAAGCAAGTTACAAACACAGGTGATGACAAAGCAACTGGTTAAGTTCCAGTAATTATTGGCTGTGTAGCCTCTCCCTCCACACCTCCCATTGACCTTAACTCATTTTCGATCCGTTGTACATGTTTCGCACAAGTACCTTAGTTCTGACCATACAATGTATCCAAAATGCTACTATGCTTTATTTCAAATATGACACAACTGACATCTCACAGCTTTATTACAAATCGAAAATGAAACAGAAACTAGATAGGCTCTAAAAACTATGCATAGCAAGCACAACATATATACGAACAAAATTAATGCAGTATTGTTTTGCCCATAGTTAACGACAGTGTCTGCGATTAGTGGATCAGAGAATGATTGGCATTACAAAATACATAAATAAAGATACAACAAAAATATTTTTTTAAACCGGGATCGAACAATTGAAAAAGATTTTCTTGTTTTTTGAAAGATTCATTAAGCAGAAGCGTTAGGTTTGCTAGCTGCGTGAGTAGGGTTACAGACGGTTAGCGTTGTGTGGGGCTGTCAGGAGCGAGCTGCTTACAGGTCATCCCTATTGGGTGCAAGCGTGTCGTACTTGGATCCCTGTTGGGTAGAGCTCATGGATGACGACTGCATGGAACTCTCTCCTTGATTCAGGGGTATGTCTACAACGGAGGGGTCCTTTTCGCGGACTGAGTCGCGTCCGAATGAACTGTCTCGTCCTCCGTATACACTGTCACGACCGCCATTTCCGCCCCCACCATAGACTGAGTCACGGTCGCGTACGGATCCGCCATAGACCGAACCTGGATTAACACACTATTGTTAAGCTACTGCATAATCTCTACATTTTCCAATTAGCTACTGGGTTTTCTAGCATAGGCGGGGACTAGCACTAATTCTAGCCACGAGGTAAAAACGAGCTGAAGCAGTTAGGTTATTTTGGTGAAGAGTGGTGAGAAGGGTAAGGGGAATTCTATCTAAGAACTCGGTATGAAAATTGAAGCCGATTCTTTTGGTGAAACTTTAAGGGTGTATCCCGCATGTGGGACCGCTGGGGGGTCTGTGTCTGGTGATTTACTCGTGATTATCACTTCCATACCAGTGTCATCGGCACGGCGATTGTATGACGTTGCCGTTTCACGGTAGTCGGTAAGAGTTCTGCTGTGCGTGGGTGTCGACGTCCCAAGAGGTGGGGTTAGGGGGTTCGATGCGAATGTCGAGCGTGGCAAAAATCTAAAATCTCCGAGAAGGCATTAAATCAAAACCCTAAAAATAAGTACTTAAAGTTACGCACCCGACGGAGCGGCTTCCACCGTGTAGTATAGCATCGAGGTTGCTATCACCGTAGCTTCTAATGCCAAGAACTGTACCTCCAAGGCGTCCAATATCGTTCACTAAGGAGCGATCGACGAAATCTCTGGAAAAGGCGTTAACGGCCAGATTGTTACTTCGTCCCTTCTACCTTTCACTCACCTGCGTCGCCTGCGTTCCCCGTCAAGTTGATCGCGTAGAATGGCGATCTGATCCTCGAGCTGCTTGATGCGATTCTTGTGGGTGCGTTCACGGTTCTCAATTACTTTTTCTATCTGAAATTCTCCCTACTTTCTACCCCGCTAGACTACACTATCTAACCCATGATGCAGTCTATAGTATATACCTGTCCTTTTTCTTGTCTCATGCGTTGCAACTGTCTCTCTTGCTCCTCACGTTGCTTATTTGTGAGTTCGAGTATACGGTTACCATTTTCCATCTCAAGCTGTGCAATCTAAAAAATGTTAAGCAAAGTAGAGAGGTCTTCGCACAAAATTTCCAAAAAGTCTTGTGGGATAGTCAAATTTGCCTGTTGCTGGAGCTGAGCGCAGTTTTTGTAGAGTTCCTTGTTTTCACGTTCCATAGCATTAAGAGATTTCTCAATAGCTTCTCGCTGCATAGCAGTCTCACGAATTGCTGCTTCTGTTCTACGTTTCTCCGATTCCATCTATAAACACTAGATTGCGTGGTAGCTTTGTAAAAAAGTGTACGAAAAGTACCATTTCAATCTTCTTCTGAAGCATATACTTCTCCTTCTTCCAGCTGTCCATCAGCTGCGTGTTTGCACGTCTTTCGCTCTCGAGCTGCATAATACGGCGTTTCAGCTCCTCAAGCTCCTAAATAGGATTTTGAAATAATTAGCCCCAAAAAGGTTTTGACACAGAAACAGAAACTGGCAGACGGGAAACAAAGCTCAGTTCAGCCTGCCAGTTTCAGAGAGACAACTAAGCAGCCCTGCGGGGCTAAAAAATTCTAAGTTACTACCTTTACCGCGGAACGTTTGTCGTTCTTGGCCGAATCCAGCTGCTGTCGGAGTTCGTTCTCCGCTGTGCGTTGCTGATTCAAATTCTGAAGACTCATTTATAAACAAGTCAGTCTACCTCAGAATTCTACACACCTTTTCCATATTCAGAATTCTGTCCTCAAGGCGATTCTTCTCTGAGTTCGCATCTTGCAGTTGACGTTGTAGTTCGGAGACACGTCCATTCACGTCATGTACGCGCTGCTTGTAATCACGCAGTTCACTGCGAACATTCAGAAGCTCAGACTCAAGCTGAGATTTGCGCGAATTGCTTGCACTCAGGTCATTCTGAGCATTGAGCAATTGGTCCTTGAGAATCTGCAGCTCGTTGCTGCTCTTGCTTTGGGTTTCAGTGTACTTGCGCAGTTCCACTTCATATGACTCAGCTTTAGCCAGATCCCTCTTCAGTTTGTCGGCATCCTCGCGCATATCCTGTACTTTATTCTCGCTTAGGCGGAGGGCTCCGTCGAGTTCTTTGATCTTTTCCATGAGGTTCTGAAGGCACAGTATAAGGAACAGTGACGATTTTATCTGCAAATAGAGATATTTACAAGTCGAAGTACCTGTCTCTCGCTTTCAAAGGTGCTGATTTGGATCTGGAGTTTCTGCGAATGACTATCGTGTTCCCTTATCTTGCTCTCAAGCTGGAATCGGCTGGCATCCCAGCTTTCCTCTCTGTCTCGCAGTGCACGAATGTCAGCATGAGCATTTTCCAGATCAGTGCGCAGATTCTTGAGTTGTTCCTAAATGAAAAAACAATAGCGGATTTTTGCACTAAAACAACTTTTTATTTGAAAGGCGCTTACGTTAAGATGTCTTAGTTGAGCCTCTTTGCCCCTCGCCTGCAATTCGGCGGCCACCATTTTCGACTTCATCTGTCGACGCTCCTCATCGCGCTGTTTTAGCGCTTCTTCCTGGGAGCGAAGAAGCTGCTTGGCAGACGCCAATCGGGCTTCCAAAGCACGCTTGTCTGTACAAGCAAGTATTGTTAAGGATCAGTACAATGTTTATGCCGAATCCCTTAGTGGGAGTTCCATACTCACCTTCTTCAATGTCATTTAAATTATCCTCAATTGTCTTGTATCTGGTCTCATGCTTATTGATTGTCGTGTGCGATTCACTCGTCTTTTTGCGCAGACGATTCAATGTGTCGCGAAGCTCGTTCTCAAATAAGCAACAGTGTAAAGCAGCTGCTTATTTTTTCTTGGAAAAAAGGCTTACTCTTTCAAGCTCCAGTTTCTCAATTCTTCCAACAAGTTGATGGAGCGTATCTTCGAGCTGAGAAACGTTGACGGTGTCATTGATGTTGACAGTAGTCGTTCCAGTTAATGTAGTGGCTACGCGACCGCCTGCTATAAAACGCCAGCATATTAGCTTATTGAGTATGCGACGACGGCGCATCCCGCTGTTGCTGATTGGTCGCGCTATCACAAGCCGACCAATCAGAACGCTTGATCGGCCGGTAACAAACCGCGCTTACCGCCCACATGGGTGCCAGTGTAATCGATGCCGACGGGGAACGGCACGGAACGTGGATATTGTACATCCTCGATGCCTTCGCCTCTTGGGATTTCCACCTCACGTCCTGGCTCGCCTTCAATGATGTCTTGACGGAAGCGGTTGAGGTTGATGACGCGGCTGGCAGAAGCCTGAATACAACGACATTACCTCTTACACTAGCAGTAACAGTTAAAACTGCAGCGCTAAAAGCTCATAGAATACCTGGAATCGCCGCAATGCATCTGCCAACGAATCTCTCTCAGAATCAACGTTAATGAAATCTTGCTGTAGAGTGATCAAACGCTGTTCGGTACTTTCCAAGCGTGACTGCAGGTCGCTCATCTCGTACTTGCGGCTCTCTAAAAGCGCAAAATGAGAATTTCCCATTCCCCTATTGACTGTGACAATCCAAGCGTACCGAGCTCTTGCAGAGCGTTAAGTCTGCCGTCTTCAGAAACTCTATGCGCATTTGCCAAATCGTCAAGAGTCGATTGATACTCGTCCGTCTTTCTCTGCATCTGTTCAGCACCAAATTTGAGTTCCTGCTGAAGTTTGGCCAGTTCTGTACGAAGCGTTGAACGTTCCGTATCGGCAGTGATGAGCTGGAAAAAGTACAGTTCACAGTGGCATTCTGTTTATCACATATCGCGAAAGTTTGCAAATCAATTCATGCATTTTATTACATGATGACGTTGCATGATTCAGTGTTTTGTATAACACAGCCGAATTGCTAAACAGCGCCGTGCCCCTCGAAAGGAACGAAACAAAACTCATTAAAAATTGAGAGTAGTCAATAATCGATACCTTATCTGAGGTTTCCTGCAGTTCTTGGCGAAGTTTTTGCAGTTTTGAGTCGAACTGCTGCGAGAGCTGCTGAAGATGATCAGCCTGCTTCGCTTTGTCCCTGTATGCATTCTGGAGGCGTTCGCGCTGTAAGTACCGTTATTGAAGTATATTAGCGTAAGGGAGGCAAAGAATTTTCAAAATATCCTCGATGTACCTCCTGTTTCAAATGGTTCAAGCTGTTTTTCAACTCTTTAATGGAGTCCTCAGCGTTCTTGAGGCGGTTTTTCAACCGATTGTTCTCCGAATCAAGGTTGGCATTAGTGCTTCTGAGAACATCATTCTCCCTCTGTACTGTGTCAAGTTCGCTTCGCCATTTGTTAGCATCAATTTGAAGTTGAGCATACTGCTCCTCAAGAGTACGCAACCTATAAAAAATAATAATCAGAATTTTAGCTCAATTTACATGATTTTAAAGTGAAAGCTTCTATTTGCTTTAGACCTGTTGGTGGTGCTCTCGAGATCTGATTCTTTCTGTGTGAGATTCGACTTTGTATCAGTGAGGTCTTCTTCGAGGCGTCGCACTTGTGACGATACTTAAATAATCAGCAATAAACCATGCAAAAAGCATTCAGTAGGAAGAATAGGTGCTTACAGTCGCGGATTTTGATAGTGCCATCATTGACCGTCTTGTTCAGATGTTCGATACGGTCATTAGCGGCTTGAAGCTGAGCCTTTAGACCAGTGTTGGTGGTCTCGAGAGCTTTCGCTTCTGATCGCACCTGATACGCGTCAGTCTTCCATTTTTGGATTTCCTGTAGAGTTGGATTTTGTGATAAATTGACAAATGGTGGTGGCACCGACCTTATCCATCTCATTACGCAAATCTTCCATGTCATCACGTAGTTTCTGATTCTGAGTTGTCAAAGTGTT